GTGAAGAGGGGGGTTGTATTTGCTTTTGGAGGGAGGTTTTGGCGATTGGGTTTTGTTCCGCCATAGTTGGTCTTGGTCTAGATTCAAAGGAATTTGGAGTTTTTCTGTATGAGAATGTATTGTTTGGATACCGAGGGTGTTTCTTGGTTTGTTTTTTGGTCAAAAGTTTTGTGATTTTTCTATAACAATTTTGAATAAAAGAATTAAAAAAAAATCTACATAACATTGGGGGAGGGGCAGATGATTTATCTCCATGACATCGGGGGAGATGATTTTTCTCCATGATATTGGGGGAGGGGGAGATGATTTATCTCCATGACATCGGGGGAGATGATTTATCTCCATGACATCGGGGGAGATGATTTATCTCCATGATATTGGCGGAGGGGGAGATTAGTTATCTCCATGACATTGGGGGAGGGGGAGATTAGTTATCTCCATGACATTGGGGGAGGGGGAGATTATTAAGGAAGACTGATGTACATGTATACGAGACTTGTGGAACCTCTAGAACCATTTGTAGAACATTAACCCAAAGGCTGCATGTACATCAGTCAGCTGACCCACAGAACCAATCACTGAAGACCTCCCTGGCGGTCACCCCTCTGATCCCTCTCTCTGTGGTCCCTTTGTTGCTTGTGATCTGTGTGGACCTGAAGCTGCAGCCAGGACTCCAGGCGCTTCCTCCCAGAGCCACTCTTCCCTCCTTGTTCTATGCCCCTGCGGTATGCTGTCTGCTACCTGGTCACCCTGGACTTCCACCTTCCCCAGGACCCAGCGATCTCCCGCAAGAAGGACCCTGCAAGCCTCACCCTGCCCGGATCTCCCCCCACCAACCCAACCCGCTGCCCAGGAATGTCAGATGCCTCCGGTGTCCCTGCTGCTGAACCCTTGTGGTGCCTGGAGGGCCCGGTGTCCTTGCTGCTGAACCCTCGTGGCGCCTGGAGGGCCCGGTGTCCCTGCTGCTGAACCCTCGTGGCGCCTGGAGGGCCCGGTGTCCCTGCTGCTGAACCCTCGTGGCGCCTGGAGGGCCCGGTGTCCCTGGACTTTATAGTTGATACCTCATATTGATCTCACCCTGCCCGGATCTCCCCCCACCAACCCACCCCGCTGCCCAGGAATGTCAGATGCCTCCGGTGTCCCTGCTGCTGAACCCTCGTGGCGCCTGGAGGGCCCGGTGTCCCTGGACTTTATAGTTGATACCTCATATTGATCTCACCCTGCCCGGATCTCCCCCCACCAACCCACCCCGCTGCCCAGGAATGTCAGATGCCTCCGGTGTCCCTGCTGCTGAACCCTCGTGGCGCCTGGAGGGCCCGGTGTCCCTGGACTTTATAGTTGATACCTCATATTGATCTCACCCTGCCCGGATCTCCCCCCACCAACCCACCCCGCTGCCCAGGAATGTCAGATGCCTCCGGTGTCCCTGCTGCTGAACCCTCGTGGCGCCTGGAGGGCCCGGTGTCCCTGGACTTTATAGTTGATACCTCATATTGATCTCACCCTGCCCGGATCTCCCCCCACCAACCCACCCCGCTGCCCAGGAATGTCAGATGCCTCCGGTGTCCCTGCTGCTGAACCCTCGTGGCGCCTGGAGGGCCCGGTGTCCCTGGACTTTATAGTTGATACCTCATATTGATCTCACCCTGCCCGGATCTCCCCCCACCAACCCACCCCGCTGCCCAGGAATGTCAGATGCCTCCGGTGTCCCTGCTGCTGAACCCTCGTGGCGCCTGGAGGGCCCGGTGTCCCTGGACTTTATAGTTGATACCTCATATTGATCTCACCCTGCCCGGATCTCCCCCCACCAACCCACCCCGCTGCCCAGGAATGTCAGATGCCTCCGGTGTCCCTGCTGCTGAACCCTCGTGGCGCCTGGAGGGCCCGGTGTCCCTGGACTTTATAGTTGATACCTCATATTGATCTCACCCTGCCCGGATCTCCCCCCACCAACCCACCCCGCTGCCCAGGAATGTCAGATGCCTCCGGTGTCCCTGCTGCTGAACCCTCGTGGCGCCTGGAGGGCCCGGTGTCCCTGGACTTTATAGTTGATACCTCATATTGATCTCACCCTGCCCGGATCTCCCCCCACCAACCCACCCCGCTGCCCAGGAATGTCAGATGCCTCCGGTGTCCCTGCTGCTGAACCCTCGTGGCGCCTGGAGGGCCCGGTGTCCCTGGACTTTATAGTTGATACCTCATATTGATCTCACCCTGCCCGGATCTCCCCCCACCAACCCACCCCGCTGCCCAGGAATGTCAGATGCCTCCGGTGTCCCTGCTGCTGAACCCTCGTGGCGCCTGGAGGGCCCGGTGTCCCTGGACTTTATAGTTGATACCTCATATTGATCTCACCCTGCCCGGATCTCCCCCCACCAACCCACCCCGCTGCCCAGGAATGTCAGATGCCTCCGGTGTCCCTGCTGCTGAACCCTCGTGGCGCCTGGAGGGCCCGGTGTCCCTGGACTTTATAGTTGATACCTCATATTGATCTCACCCTGCCCGGATCTCCCCCCACCAACCCACCCCGCTGCCCAGGAATGTCAGATGCCTCCGGTGTCCCTGCTGCTGAACCCTCGTGGCGCCTGGAGGGCCCGGTGTCCCTGGACTTTATAGTTGATACCTCATATTGATCTCACCCTGCCCGGATCTCCCCCCACCAACCCACCCCGCTGCCCAGGAATGTCAGATGCCTCCGGTGTCCCTGCTGCTGAACCCTTGTGGTGCCTGGAGGGCCCGGTGTCCCTGGACTTTATAGTTGATACCTCATATTGATGTGTTGAGTCTCCCTGTGTGTACCCCACCTGTAGCTTTCTCCCCCCCTCCCCCAATAAACACCCCCCATGTTGCCTCCCGTGAGATTTGCCTCTGTGGAGTTTGGCACCATCAATGGTGAAAATCTAACAAACTGAGGAACAGAAAGACGAGGAAATGAAGACAAGGAGGTCTGAGATCAATCAGATTTGTAATATTCAGATCGGCATGCACAAGATGTCACAAAGGAAAAGACGTGGTGCAGTCAGTGAGTCGGTCACACCGCGCTCACGCGTCATGTCCGTGTTCTTCAAGGTGGAATCAGATCGGCGTCAGAAATTCCTCCAACGTCAGCAGCCGTATGTCTCCACCTTGCATGGGAAGATCAGAAACCATTGTAGACGTGGATCTGCTGGAATGCGGATACAATACCCGGAGGACCCTAGTGGTGACAACACCCGCTTCCGGAAACATTTGTAGACAAGACACACGGTGTGCCAACCAACCCAGCTGGGTCAAGGCAACCGTTACCTAAGGGTAACCCTGAGCAGATGTTCTGCTTGTAGTGAAGATCCTTTCCCACACTCCAAGGAAGCTGAGCTGGGAATTTCACGGCTGGTAAATCCTTCCCCAAACTACAGAGCTTACAGCTTGTCTGGGCTGCCATGGATCCTCGGTCACAGTCTTATGGTAAATGTCTCACATGACCCTCCTTGGAACTTGTCTTGGCAGGTACGGATCTTCTGAGGAGGGAAGAGGAATATGGGGTCTCTATAGAGCATGCTTTGGCATGTTCCTGTAACAGAGACTCATTTCTGAAACATTTCCCACACTTAGCACAGGTCAGCTGCCTACGATCCTTGTGCACTCTTTGATGCGAGGCCAGGTGAGAGTTACACACAAAACACTTTCCACATTCAGAACATTTAAATGGTTTTTCTCCAGTATGAGTTCGCTCGTGGATAATGAGATCCGGCTTCCGGATAAATGCTTTGCCACACTGTGTGCACTGGAATGGTTTGATGCCGGTGTGAATCTTCTCATGAGTCACAAGATGTGCCTTACAGGAAAAGCTCTTTCCGCACTCTGTACATGAAAACGGTCGTTCCCCGGTGTGCCGTCTCTGGTGGATGACAAGACGGGACTTCCGGAAGAAACCTTTTCCGCACTCTGTGCATGTCCATGGACGCTCACCAAAGTGAAGCTTCTGATGAGCCAAGAGGAGGGAGTAGCTGTCAAAGCCTTTCCCACACTCTGAGCACACGGCTGGCTCCTCCGCACTGTGGATCTTTTCATGTTTGGAAAGTTCTCGAAAACTAGTGAAATGCCGCTGACAGAAGAGGCAACTATAGACATTACTCGACGAGTAATCCGGGCTTTGTGCCCTTACCATGTGACTCATGTCATGTGTACCGGTCATATGATTACGTGTTTCCGTCATATGATGATCCGTGTTGCGTGTGCCCGTTCTACGATGATCCGTGTTACGTGTGCCAGCCATACGATGATCCGTGTTGTTCTTGCAGCAGTCCGCACCGTCAGTCATTGCTCCGTCATTTGTATACCCCGTGCTGGAACAATGCCGGGAACGAGGCTCCTTCTTCACGTGTTCAACATGAATTCTTCCTTTACATATTCCGGATTCCATGGCACACGCTGGAGAGTCCGTGCCGGAAAGATTTTCTTCATCACCAGATCCCGGATCCTCCTGGTTCTCACCGGCAGATGTACCGATAGCTGCGCCTGCCCCCTCATATTCCTGCCATGATTCCGGCTCCTCTTTTATACAAGTTATAACAATCTCATCATCACATAAAGCCGCTTCCGTCTTCATATGATTATCAGTCATTTCTTCTTCATACGAGACCTCCCCCTCCTTACATTGCAGAGCCAGACAACATGTCTCACACTTGGGGGTACACGTGTCTGTATTCAGAAGATATTGCCCCTTCATACGAGATGTCGCGGGGCGGAGATCCTGGGGTGAGCGGAGATCCTCTCCGGGTTTTATAGCTGTATAGTGTGATCCATAAATATCATCATCTGAGCCGGACAAATGTTGTGTGTGATCTCTGCCGCCTCCATCAACATGACACGGGGCACATCTGGAGGATTCAGGGGATGCTGTGAAGCTGCTGCACGGGTCCTTGGCTCGAATATCACCTGAGGAAAAACATATATGAACTGAGAACATTCACACACTGATATACAACTCAGTCACTTCCCCTCAGTAACCAGCTCGGCATACAGTATGGGCTCCATGGTCTGGGACATTTAGGATGACAGCTGGGATAGAGTATGGGCTCCATGGTCTGGGACACTTAGGATGAGAGCTGGCATACAGTATGGGCTCCATGGTCTGGGACACTTAGGATGAGAGCTGGGATATAGTATGGGCTCCATGGTCTGGGACACTTAGGATGAGAGCTGGGATATAGTATGGGCTCCATGGTCTGGGACACTTAGGATGAGAGCTGGGATACAGTATGGGCTCCATGGTCTGGGACACTTAGGATGAGAGCTGGGATA